CTGATTTTTTTTTTTAATTCTTAGCAAAAGGAATCAACTTCTTTTTAGGCAACCAGGGCCAATAACTAAGTTCCTCTTTTACCTAGGAGCTGGGTTTGGGGTCAGAGTGCACTAAATGCCTGTCTAAACACCATGTGTCAGGCACCAGGGCAGACATTTCACATTAGCTTACTATGATCGCTCACATGAGCTCTGACGTACTTCACCATATTTTGGAGATCAGCAAACAAAGGCAGTGGAGACGTATGCTTTCTTCTAAAGCAGTATATCTCAATCTGTTTATACTGCCACCTCCCCCCTCCCGTGGGACCTTATAGACTTTTTTTTTTTTCAAAAACAGTCCTTTCCTCCCAGTACAACTTTAATGTCTCTAATCCACAGTATACTTGTAGGTACTGTTCCTGTATTAGTCAACTTTTGGTGACTGGAACAGAACACCCCAGACAAGATGCTTATGAAGAAGGAATGGATTTGATTTGGGATTATGGCTTTGGAGGTTCACAGTGCAAGACTGGGTGGACCCATTTGGTTTGGCTGTGTGATGAAGATGGAGCAGAGAGATGGTTGAATAATCTGTGTGTTTGTGTGCAGAAACCAACACAGGGCAAATCAGGAAGCAGAGTGGCACAAGTTGGCTTTTATAATCCATCCTCTCCTGGGAACTGCACTTCATGGGCAGTGACCTAAGCACTTCCCAGTCGGCTCCCTCCTCAACACAACACCACAATTGGATCAAGTGTCTTTCGTCCAGGCATCACCCACAAGACTCTCTTGCTTCAACTTTAAATATCTACAACATAGGTTCTGGACCATACTCTAGTCACACCCTAACAGCACGTCCATCAATTCTCAATCCTTTGTGAATACGATCTCCCCTGTTAAGAATGTTTGCTCTGTGCCCAAGCAGGTAGTGAATGTTCTCTAGCTTTGTTCCAAATCAAGTCTATGTTATTCCCACTGACCTTGCTCTATAGCAGCTTTAGCTCTTTCAATGTCATTCAGTCATCTTCAGGGCAAGACAACAATCCTTTCAGATAGCGTCCTCCAGGACCTTGCTGTCCCCCACTCACTGCTCCCATACAATACTCATGCATCGCTGAATCCCATGGACCTGCTTGTAACAGGTCAGGCCTCCTCTAGTCTCATTTCTGTATACCGTCTTCCCCTGTGGACACTCACTCTCAGCTTGGACACTACTAGATCAAGTGTTACCTCACACAAATCACCTTCTAAGGCTGAACTACAGTCCTGCCCACGAGCTGTCAGAGCAGCTTGGACTAATCCTTCTCTCAACACTCCCCAAGATTTTTTTACTAAGTTGTTCCTCTGTCTCTTCCAAGGCATGCTGAGGGCCAGGAGACCTCATCCCTGACTCACTAGGTTGAACACCATGTGTGCCATAATCTCTGTAAACTGCATCAGTAGCAGGTGGCTGCAAATGGGTCCAGTGCTCATGCAAGAGCAGAGTAGTTCAATTTCTGAAGTAACAGGTTAAGAATTCTGTGCAGACTTCCCTCTGGGGCTCGTTGGTCCTGTGGGAAACCTGCCCTTGTCCACTGTATGGATGGCAGTGACATCGATACCATTCCTGAGTCCTGGGCTCTGCCAAATTATTTCATCCCTCTGGCCCCTGGAAGACTGTGAGTATGTACAACTTAAGACAAAATTGTTAGAGAAGGGAGAATCCCTTCCACTGGGATGGAAAGATGTAAGAATGACATGGCCCAAGGTTGCTGGGTAGAAATAGTCAGAGTTCGTCCAAGAAAGTATAGAGGACTGCCCCAAGAGGCAAGGGAAGCCACACCAGCCGATCTAGATATCCTTGGTCCATTTTCCAAAACAAGCCAGACTTGCTATTTCCTACTGTTTTAATTCAAGATTCAACAAACTCCGCCTCTTCCCACACACACTCCTTGTATATACGGCAGTTTGAAACGGGTTCTGAACAACACAGTGGGTTGACAGTCTCACAGGAGCTGTTCAACACATTACTCCCTTCTCTCTCTCCCTTGTCAAAGAAAGCAGGTCAGAGGATGAGGACAGCCACAGCAACTTCTCTACAATTCCGTTAGAAACACTTGAGATGATACCACTCGAGTGCTTGGCACACAGCCTGGTACCCAAGAAGGCTTTGCCAAAGCATCAGCAAATACAGATAGGACCGTACAGCAGGGGTACTTGGTGCAGCCCAAGATCCAGAGGTGTGGCTTCATCTTCTACGCTCACAAGAATCCACGAAATGACAGTATCAACAACTCCAAGCGACCATCCCAGAAACAGGCACTGACAGCCAAGACTGAGTCCTGGCTTGCGGGAGAAACTGCTGCTACAGTGAGCCAGTCTGGGCCCCTGGATGCCAGACCTGCCACCCAAGAAACCATCCAGAAAGTTCTGAGCTGTCTCAATGCTCTACTTATGTCAAGTCTGTTTGCCCATCATCTGGTGTTATTGTGCCTCAGCAGGCAGAAGACAAGACTGTTGTTCTTGCTCCAGGACTGCATTGCCAACGGGAAATACATGTCTCCTCTGTATTCACCCATTTGCTATTCGAGCTCCCCAACATGTCCCTCTTTCACATGAATAAAAAAAAGAGCTGGATAGAAAAGAGGTCCCTGTCCCTTCCAGGCTGTTCTCACACTTAGCCAACTCATCCACCCTAACACTAATTCAATTTTATTTCCCTTGCTCTGTTAGACTTTTCCCTTTCATATTCATTCTTGTACTACTGGCATTAGGAGCTTGGTAAAGGCTCAAATCCAGACGCCACTGAATGAAGGCTAGGGCTCTGGTTCCTGTAAACCAAGCTCTGGAAAACACACACATACACACATGTACACTCACTCACATGGATACTTCAGAAAGTCTGGAGAAAATAAACTCTAAGATAAATTTATTTTTAGGGCAAAAAAACCATTTTGAAATTCATGCCTCAGCTATGCATTTTTCATAAACTCAAGACCCTGTATATGTGTATGAACATTATAATACTATAACATTTTAGGTATGAACTCTTGCTGTATGATTCAATTCATACTTCCCTCTTGGACTCACTAATCTCTTGGAAGTAAAAGCACTTGTAATTTTTCAAATGGAAAATATACTCTGAACGGAAGGCTTCAAAAGCTGTCTTGAACACAGCAAACAGCTCATTACTGTAAGAAGCGGGCAGTGAACACTTGGGATCTGGCAGGCCTGGTCCCTATGCCTGCTTGGAGACATGGTCCTTGGTCTACCTTGTGGTAATGATCCAGAGCAGGGTCTCCTGGGCTCAGCGCTGGGCCAATTAGAAATAATCTTGAGCTCCCGAGTTTTTGGTTAGCAGTGCTTCACTGAGCCTGTTTGCTTCCACCTGGAGACACAGGGACTCTAGTGCCACCAGCACTGGACAGAGCCCAGAGATGGGCCTGCAGGCCTGTGCAATTTTGTACCCTTCATTAATCTCACTTGAGGCAGCCTCCAGTTTCCCAATGGGCTCCATAAATACTAGTTCAGAAACCACCTTCTGCCAGAAAAAGCAGGACATCAATCAAGTGCTTCTGGGCAACCCCCTGACACACTGACCTTCACCTTGTAGCTGGTCTGTTCCAGTTATGGTTAGCTGCCTGTGAAAGTTTGAGACGATTCCACTCTTTTAGTGCTCCTGTCCTAGCCAGCTGAGAACATCCTCAAAGCCACATAGCCAATCCCTCATTGGATTTTACCTCCACACTCACATGTAATCTATTCTCAGTGCCTGCACTACCCACCACACCAAACCACAAGCACTTCTTTCTTAGCTATTTCTGTACTTTCTTAGCTATATCTCTGCTCTAGTTCCTCTTTGGATTATGTTCAACATAGCAGCCCAAGAGATCCTCAAGTCAGGTAACAAGACTCTTCTGAACTAATCTGCCCATCAGGGTGAAAGGTCATGCCTTAAGAATGGTTGGGCAACACCCAACATCCCTACCCCTTTCTTCCTGACAGTCTTCTGCCACTCTGGCTGTTCTGCCGTGGGTTTGCCTGTGCCTCAGAACAGGCTGCTGCTTTTGCTTAAACTGATCGCAGATGGAATCCACTTGGTTCCCTCCTCAAAAGTATTTCACCAAACTTCATCTCCCAGTTAGGCCTTTGGCGTGCATTCTGAACTACAATCCCTCAGGCCTAGCAAACCCAATCTCTTTTCAGATTCTGTTTTCTTCATGATATACTTGACATCTGGAGAATTAGATGCTCAGGTTGTTGGCTTCACCTGTCTCATCTACTAAGATCAAATCTTACTTACTTTTCTATAACCAGTGCCTACAATACCGTGTGGCCTACAGCAGGGGCTCAGAGCTGATTGAATGAGAAGAAGCTGGGAAGAAGAGTGAAAGACATGCTCCCTGTCTCTCACTGGTGAAACTTACTAGGCAAAGGGCAGAGGTTTCTGCACTGATCAGAGAGGAATGCAGCCAGGCCAACCAAGCAGGCCAGTCTGATCACTCAAACTGCAGAAGACGAGACAGCAAAAAAACTCAGGGCCTTAAAAACAGAGGCTGCCGGTTCTCTCCTTCAAGTAGTGGAGAACAAGTTCAGCAATAATAGTAAGAGCCACATTGTTCATCTAGTCTGCCACTTCCCTCTTACATGTACTCAACATCACAGCATGGTCTTCTTTTCTAATTTTCAGCAAACGGCTCCTCCCCGCAAAAAATAATCTGAACTACATCGTGGTTTCAGAAAACAGGAAGTGCAATGACTCAGACTAGTTTTTGTAGGTTCATCACCTCAATTTGTTGTGGAAATGGGATTTGAACTTGGATCTTCCCAATCCTTCACTCACAATCAATAAATCCAGATGGAAAGAAGGGTCAGGACTTCAAAAAGGGGCTCAGGGCTGCCATCTGGTGGGGACAACAGGGTCTCCCAGGTGCCTGAGCTCAAGCTGCCTCATCTATCTAAAGGAAGACATCCTGGGCTCCCCCTTTCCCAGCTGACCCCCATATGTCCACCCTGTGGATGCCCGCCGGCTTACTCACCTCCAGTAAACTAGCACAGCAATGAGAAGGATGAGGCACACGAAGGTCAAGGCTGATACCACGATCAAAGGGATGATCCACTCCATCCTCCCTGGAGAAGGGCGGCTTATCATTCCAGAGCTGTTCTTTTCTGCTAAAGAGAGAAACCGGCTCAGTTAGAGGGAGGCGCGAGTGGAGCTGGGGAGCCAGGGAGGGACGCGGAGTCCCGTTCGAGCAGGGCACGGTGTGTCTGGAGAACTGGCCTGCTGGCTTAGCGGCTGTCCCTGGGCAAGAAGGGGCAACTCCGCAGCTCTCTCCATTTCCCACCTGGTGCCAGCCCACACTGGTCATTTCCTGTAGACTCCCTTTTGTAGCCACCAGTGGCATGGAGCTGCAGATGGAATGCAGCTGGCTTTTAATGAGAGTAGTCACAAGACGCGGACGGACAGTCGGCTGCAACGCCAAGAGCACTACAATCTAGAGGGGCTTTTGGAATCGTGGAGGAAGCTGTCCGAGTCCTTGGGAAGAGATAAATCTGCAAGCCCCCCCCCCCCCCCCCCGGACAAAGGCAGGAGGAAGAGCACAGTGGATTTAACAAGGCTTCTGTAAACAGCTGCCTCTTCTTTGTCGACTTAGCACCCACTATCCCTCCCCCTGTAACACCTGACAGACACGGTGGAAAAAGCCCTATCCTCCTGGCCAACGGTGATGGTGGGGACTTGGACTACAGCAGTGGTCCTCATGCCCTGGAGCCAAACTAGAAACTCAGCACAGCCCGAAGGAGCACCCTGGGTCTTCTGCATGTCTCTTCCCCCAACCCTTATGCCCTGAGGTCCTGGTTTCCTTCCAACCCAATTCCCCAGTTTTTCCTCCCATCCCATCACCTACTCACTTCGTCCTTCCTTAAAAAAAAAAAAAAAAAACCGCCAAACCAGAAGCCAGGTCTTGCCCAGCTGCCAGGCACACAGCTGCCCCCTTTAACAGCAGCAGCCACCATCTAGGCGTTCAAAGTCGGCCAGGATTCTCCCTTGGGCAACCTCTTACCCAGACAGCGCCTTCCTCCACGTCGCTGGGCCGAGGATCTTTAGAAGTTCCCAGGAGTCTCAGCGAGGGCTCCTATTATCCCCTTGAACCTGGTAGTGAGGTCTATGGATGCCTGTAAACCACCAGGTGGCTCCAATTAAGCTCCCACGGGGGGGGGAGGTTGAGAAGAGCACAGGTGCACCTGTGCACAGAGGCAGTCACGGGAGGCTGGTGGGCGGGGAGCTCGGGCTGACGGCAGCCATAAGGTACAAAGTCCTTGAAGAGCCTGGCTGCTGGTTTTGACTTGGGCTCAGCAAGGATTCCTCCTGCTCTGTGTCAAAAATGAGGCCAGCATTCAGCCAGCCCAGTCTGTCCCACTGCAGGGCTAATCAGCTGCATTTCCCAGGGAGAAAAGGTGGGTTGAGCAGGAAAAAAAAAATAATAATAATTGGCCTTGAGAACAGAGATTTAAAGAGCTAAGACTCCAGAGTCACAAAAACACACGTGATGGCACCATTCACCGTGTGGTAACACACTTGCCCCTAATTGCTTCCTTCCTTTCAGGTGGAGCCAGGCTGATGCCCTACTCACAGGTAAGACAAAACCAGGAACACCTGGCTATTGATACAGACCAGAAGAAATGGGCCCCTTGGGCTATAGGAGGACATATAACCCAGTCATTAGCACACAGGGGAAATGGTGGCACCAGCAGCATATGGGGCGAGAGGGGACCTGTATGCAAACCCAGGTCCCTGGTCAAGAAAACACTGACCACTCGTGGGTCCATCGAGTGGGTTTAGCAATGCCATGCTGACTGGTCCCTCCCAGGGTCCCTGAAATCACACGCAAAGCTCTGTGTTGATCGTGACATCTGTCCTTCCTTCCTTCTCCACAGCTGAGTGTTTCAAGTCCTCATCTGATGCCCACAGAACGCAGAAGACTGTGTCCACCAAGACACGTTCCTTCTTACGACACGAGATAGCAATGGGCCAGAGAAGACAGGGTGTTGCAGTCAGCGCTCGCCTGGCTCAGGGCTGGGCTCCAGGGCAGGCTTCAGGTACGCTGTCCTTATTTTCCTGGGGGAGGCTGCAGAGCAGCTACATACTCTCTGAAGTCCCAGCCTCCAAACAGGCAGTCCCTGGCAAGTCCCTGGCAAGTCCCTGGCAAGTCCCTGGCAAGTCCCTGGCAAGTCCCTGGCAAGTGAGTGGAAGACCTAAGAACATTAATCTGCTAACAGGATCACTGGGGCCTGACTTAAGGCAGGCAGCTGAATCTGCTCAAGTGTTGGACATACATAAAGGCCAGGCAGAAAGGAATGGCACTGGTGGATTTCCATAAGGGGCCTGGTGAAGTTCATTTCGCTTTTTCAAATTCACGGCAGGGTCTGGTCTTCCTGATTCCCAGAGCCTGGAACTGAATTCCTTTCCTGGGTGACCTGCTCCAGCCCCTTCCCTGAAGAACTAACCCCTCCCTGCCCTCCTGGTAAGGTGGAGTCTCTGAACAGGAGGGACAGCAGTGGCGTCTTCCCATATCCTGCAGTGGTCTGGCCACACTCACCCTACCACTGACCACGCTGGGCTGAGGTCTCATCTCTCTGCCTTTGTCCCTGCTGGCCCATCTTGGTTCCGAAAGCATGTCTGGCATCATTATCCTCATCATCTCCTATGGCTCCTACTGCAAGCATCACGAGTGTAATGGTTCTCTCCTCTGTCGGACCCCAAAGGTGGGGCTGTGTACACAAGTACAGCACACCTGCTTTTTCCTACTAGCTGTGCAACTCTGGGACAAGCTAACTAACGTCCCTGTGCCTTCACTGCCTCTTCTGTAAATGAGGATGATTTTATTCCTTACTGTATTGCAGTACTTTAAGCTTCAAGAAATCACACACACTCTTGCTGACTGGTACCTCTAAGCACCTGATGTCTGTGATCGTCAGCTCTGTCCTACCATCAGCGGTAGGGATTCTGCCCTTTCCATCCCCACCATCAGCACCACCTTTACCCGTGTCCCAGCACAGCGAGCTCTCCCTGTGTGTCTACTGGATCTGAGTCATGCCTGGAACAGATGAAAGCATGGAGGCCGGGCACGGGGCGATCACAGACTTTGGGCAGGCCAGGCATTCACAGCGGCCTGCGTGTGATGAGCCTGCTGGTCAGAAGCCGGAACCTTCAGGTCTGCCATGAGACAAGGTTGCATCGCACATCTCGCCCTCACAAACTTCCCCCGCCGATCTGAATGATAAAACAACACACTTGCAGGAACTGGCAGGAAAGCGCGGCATGCTGCACCTGGGGCACACACCTGCCCCCTCGTGTGGCTTCAGCCCGCCAGCACAATCCCCCAACCTGCCCCATGCTGTGGTCTGCAGAGACTCACACTGTGTGCCCCTTGGCACGCCTGACCCAATGTGTTATGTGCTATGATCTATGTGTCACAGGCCAACTTGAGGAAGAATTCTGGCTCCGACCCTCCTAGCTGTGTGTCTCTAGGTAAGTGACTGGCCATCTCTGTTCCTATTTTGTCATCTGTCAGAGGCAGAGAGATGACAGAACCTCTCCAGCATAGTCCAAAGGATTAAATGAGATAATCTACAATATCATAATAATCTATAATCTCATAAGTTGCACAAATCATATCTACAGAATGTATATGGCCAGAGGTCAAGTAACATCATGGGCTCACAGTTCAAATGTTAGCAAAGTGGGATTGGCATTGTGGTGCAGTGGGTTAAGCTGCCGCTCGCAATGCCAGCATCCTATGCTGGAGGAGCACCGGTTCTAGTCCCATCTGCTCCACTTGTAATCCTGCTTCTTGCTAATGAGCCACAGAAAGCAGCAGACAATGGCCTGAGGACTAACCAGTCTCATCAGCCTCAGGGTGGCACTGTTAGCCAATAAATCAGCAAAACAACACAAAGTTGGGTCTTAACACAACTGAAGACTCACGGGGTGGGCGTTTGATATAGTGACTTGTAACACCCACAAATCCTAGCAGCATGGAGGTGGCCCTCACCTTGCCACCCATGTGAGAGACAGTGTTCGGGTTTCTTGCTGCTGGCTTCAGCCTGGCCCAGCACTGGCTATTACAGGGGCAGTCCTCACTCGCTGTCTCTTGTTCTCTCCTCTTTCCCTTTCTATGAATATCTTTTTCCCTGTCTTGTAAATAAGCTTCTAAAAAATTAAAATACATTAAAAGGCTTTACGACCAAAAGCAAAAAATCCTGATGCTAACAGTTCTCTAACCTGGCTCAACACAGCGGAAAGTATTTCCTTTCAACTAACTCAAAACTAACAACAGTCTATTATGAACCTTGCATCTTTGCCCTATTTTCTCAGCACTGCCTCTTGCTGATGTGAAAAATAAAAATTGGACAAAGGGTGTCAGGTGGTCTTCACGACACTCTCCCAGCACCGAATATGCTACGTGACAAACAGGTGCTGGGAGGGGCAGGAGCCCGGCCTGGGTGCAGAGCCCTCACCTGCTCTGGAAATATCTTCCAAATGCAACCTGGGGCAAAATGTTGCGTTTGCTCAGCTTCTGCAGAGGGCCAGGTGCAGTGGTATCAGCACAGCCTTTCCTGCTCCCTGTTGTAACTTCAGCACCAGACAGAATGAGTCAAGTGCCTCCATTCTGCTTTTAAAAAAAAAATTTAAAAAAAAAAAGAAAAGAAAAACAGTTTTCAGTGGCATATGTCATCACTGAATTAATGCTGTTTGCCTTTTACTGGCTTGGCTCTCATCCCAGTAGAAGCAGATAAAAACGGAGTACAATGTACTATAAAATGCTGCAGGCGGCAATGCATCAGATGGACGCCACGGAGCCGCTTCGTATCCCGTGGTATGGGTTCCACGTGTGCCACAGTACGGAAGCCTGCACACGTTCAGAACTGAAACAAGCTGAGGGCAGAAAGACCACTCGGACGAGTAGGGGAAAAGCAGGAATCTTTCATGTTTCCAGAAAGATGAAGAAAAGGATGAATTAGACTCATAAATATACAGTATGTTCCCCAGCACTGGCAATTTCATTGCACTTGTTCTGAATACTACTATTCTTAAAAAAAAAAAAAAAAGACCTATGTCTGGGAAGTAAGGGGGCTGCTTTTTAAAAAAATAAGCCTGTGGAGCTGGCATT